AATTCTAAATGAAATTATAAATAAATGAATTTATTGAATTGATCAATATTAACATTTTTCTCAGTTTTAATTTCTAATATATTAAACATTGATAAATACTATATACATAAATAAAAGCTCTTTGGGGTTCTCCATCATTTTTAAGAATACAAAGAAATCCTGAGACTAAAAAGCTTAAGATCCACTGCCAAGAACAGTGCCTGGCACATAGCATAAATATTGTTGATTTTTTCCCCCAGTATATATTATTGTTTAAATTTACAGATATTAACACCATAATATGTGAATAAGTGTGTTATTACTTTTTTTAATGTTAAAGGAGGGACTTCTAGTCAAAAGATTGGGAATCAGTAGGTGTTCAGGGAAGGGTGAGATCCAGTGGACTGGAGAGGTCAGGAATGGTTCACAGAAACTATATTAGGAGAATGTAATATGAAACTTCAAGGATAAATAGCTGTAGTATTTTCTAGCCTAAAATGTAAACCTTTCCTTGATTCAAAGTCACCTCCTAAGTCTGCTTGCTTTCTTGCAAAACTTCTTCGCAATTTTTCTGTTCTTGCTGGCTCCCTTCCTTGTCCTCCATTCTCCCCTCAACCCATTCCACTGGGACTGTTCAGGTCAGCCTCCCCAGTGACCAGCCTTCCAGTTGTTAAATCATGTATCTCTTACCTTACTTGATTTCTCAGCGCTGTTAAAGCAGTTGACCACTTGCTCGTTCTTGAAACCCTCCCTTTTCCCTTTGAAACCCTGGCTTTTGTGACACTACACTGTCTTGGTTTTGCTCCTGCCTGACTAGAAGCCTTGTCTCTGGCTTCTTTGGTTTCTCTTCTGTCTGACCTTTGAATGTTGGAGTGCACCAAGGTTCTGTTCCAAGGTCTTTTGTCTTCTCCATCTATGTACTTTCTCCAGTCACTGGGGCTGGTCATCTCTTTTTAATCTCTCTCTCCACTTTTCTGAGTTACATCTTTGTGCGAGTGACACTCAACTCTTCAGTTTTAGCCCCGATCTCCTCTCAGAACCTCAGGTTGGTACAGCTAACCCCCTACTTGAGGTCTCCACATTGGTGTCCGATAGGCATCTCAAGCTCAACATGGCCACAACAAACTCTGATTCTCCAGCCCCCAAATTTATTTCTCTTTCAGTCTTCTCCATTCCAATAAAATTGTACCACCATCAACCAGAAGTTCAAGGCAGGAAAACAAAGCAAAAATGCCTATCTTCCAAAGAATTGTGATATAATAACACTGTTTTGAGTTCAAGAGGCAAAAAGAAAACATTTACCTGTATTATTTTCATTTATTCTCATGAAATGAGTATAAAGTTTTCCTGCAACAGTACAGCTCCTTTTAAATTTTTCCCTTTCATCTTTACATATAAAATTTACTCATCTCTATACATATTAAATAGCCAAATTTTCAAGGTGACAAGGTGCTACTAAGATGATTCTGAACTTATATTACAGGAGTAATAAAGTTTAATGCCTGTATGATATTATGAAATTCTGGTTGGTATCAGGTATGTAGAATTAAAAGTGTAAATTGTTAAAATCTGTGGGAGTTTTGAGAGCGATCTGCTATGTGTGCCAGACTGATGAAAAGAGTAGGAAGAACAAAAATGAGTCAAGAGAGATCATTTTGTACATTAAAATTATAAAATAAGGAAATGTATTTTGAGAATAAAACTCATGGTGGGCTGCAAGGTCCTTGGAGGGGCATCTGGGAGCCTCGCTTCCTCCGAAAGTGACTCAGCCTGTCCTATCTGCTCACCTGTCTGCACCTCCCCCGCCTTCAGGTATTATCATGACTGGTTTACGCAGCCCAGATACTGATTTTCATTGGGGGAGGAGGAGGTGTCCTCTGGTGGGGTAACAGAAGCCACAAGGGTTGGGTGAGATGGTGTTGTACAACCATTGTGACGTCAAGTTGAAAGTCAAGGTGAAATAACTTAATCTGTTGTTTCCAGTAAGACTCATTCATTTGTTTTTCCAAGTCTGTTTTTTTCAGTGTTTGGAAGAATAAATCTAAAGAATCAACCTTATCAGAAAGTGGTCTCTGGACCAGCTACATCAGAATCACCTGCTCAAAATGCAGATTTCTGGGTCCTAAACCAGCCTGCTGAATCAGACCTTCTGGGGATAGGGTTGCGGAATCTGCGTTTGGAAGAAACTCTCCCAGTCTTACAGGCAATAAAAAATTTAGAACCACGGTCATTAAGAGCAGTTTTCCAGTGCGTATTTTCAAATATATTTCTGTCAAGATGAAGGTTATGTAATTCATGAAATTCAGGACCAGAGAGAACGAATGAATGAAGAGCGAGAACAGTGTATAAAATCCCTCACATATTTTTGTGACTAGGGTCCTAGTGCTTCCTTGATTGATGGAGAAGGATTAACTGTTCCAATTACCAAATTCTGAAGACTCTGTAGATCCTGGTTGTTAAAGGATGATTCTGAAAACATGTATTTATCTTTATCTTCATTAAGGAAGACGTCAACATTTTATGAAAAATATCAGTTTTCGTGATTTTGCACTCTCAACAAATCATCTAAAATCCTCCTCCACTGTTGTATAGAATGAGGCCCTTGGGAAAAACATGCTTGGTCAGAAATGTTTGTAAGTTCCCTGTTTCCTTTAGCATACAGTTAAGCAAAAACTTCTACATTGTCAAGGAGGATAAGAAGATAAAAAGTCAGATAAAGATGCGGTTTACCTTATTAGTTTGTACTTTCCCTTCTCACTCATATTTTAATTCATTTTCATTACTTCCTAGCTTAATTTATCAGTTTCAGAACGTGACTGAGTTCAGTTTATGAAGAAAAGGTTTATAAACATAGAGGTGAAGTTTAAGTTTTGCTTGCACGAGAGGTTACCTGTTTACTGTATGTGGTTAATGTGAAACGTAAACTAGGCAAATAAACCACTGTGTTATTTTAAGTCTAAATGGAAAGAGCTAAAGACCATTTTCGGAATGAGTATGTGGCAAATATTCAAGAAAAACAAACTGAAATAAAAAGGTAAACAGAAGAATACTAATTAAAATGGACATTTAAAGTCAGAAAATTCAAAATCTCTTTTTCTGTTGACAGTTATACCTAACTAACTAATAGTTAAAAAAATTGTATCACATGTTTCCGATAAAAAAAATTCAGGTGACATCTAATACTTTCTTTTTCATTTTATCTCGTTTAGCTGGTGTTAAAGAATTGGGCTGTTCGTACTGATATGGCTTTGTAGTTATGGAATCTGAAACCTGAACTGGTTGAATCAGGAATATAGATGGTGCTGAAGCTCATGCTAGGAGTGAGATTTTGTGGCTTTTTGTTTGATTTCTTTCAAATAGCTTTGTTAGTCTTTTTGCAAAAGTTATGCTCGCAGTCCAATATTTTGAAAATAAGAAAGCATTCAAAGATTATCTTCCTGCCACCTAATGTACTATACCCTTTGTATTTTGGTGTATGCTGCCTATTTTTTCTCAATATGAACATACACTGATGTTATACATGCATATTTATGTATATATATTTGTATGTACTTATATACACTTGTGTATTTACACATATGTATGTACATGTCAAGTATGCCACTTAGTAAATTGTTTCACCAGACAGTATTTCATAAACATCTGTTGTATATACACATGTGTATATATAAATATAAATATATACATATTTCATCACATTCCGTTTATGATTGTACTTTTGCCAAAGAGTTCTATAATTCACATGTACCACAGTATATTTAATGACTCCTTTTTGATGGGCATTTAGGTTGTTTCCAATTTTTCCACTTTTGTAATCAATACAATGAAACCCCTTGTTTGAATATTTCCTTAGGATAAATACCTAGAAGTAGAATTGTTGGGTTAAACGAAATACCCACTTAAAAATTTGAGACATATTGTCTAGTTGCCCTCAGAATAGCAATGTCTTGAGGGTGATAATTTTGGAACATTATGAACAGTCCTGGGTTTTGTTAATCTCTTAAATCTTTGTAAATATAACATGGCAAAATACAATTCTTACCTTAACTTTCATTTGTTCGATGCAGTATCCAGAGAGTCCCTGGAGCTTTTGAGTGCCCTAGGAGTTGGTGGGCTGTGCAGTCGGACCTTAGCTTTACAGGTAGAGGGAGAAGTCCTTAAGACAGGCAGGGGAGGGAATGAAACTACCTGGTCAGGTGTTAATGAATGACATCTTGGAGGACATAAACCAAATCTGCTGGATGGAAAGTCCCTTCTACTTTGCTTCTAAACATTCTTGTTTAGATCTCAATATCAGTATATGATTCTACTCTTTTTTCTTTGCAACACTAACAGCTTATATGGCCATCAGTCAAAGCTTAATGATTATCAAGAAGAGTTAAAATCTTTGAAATGCTTATGAGCTTTTTTGCCTACCATAGGGCTATGGAGAGCCCTGACCCAAACTCAGAAATTTAAATTCTGGCTTTCTAAAAGTGGAAGGGGGACAGTGGAGGAGAAAGGAATTCTTTCATTCCTTTTTGAAGAGTCCTTCCTGGAAATAGTTATTGGCAGGGATAACTATCTATCATCTATCTGTCTGTCTGTTTGTGTATCTGTCCGTATCTAAGTTCTAAAGGAATCATTTCAGAATTTCTAGCCCTTTTGTTTTTTTAATTAGAAATATCTGTTTTAAAAATTAGATTTTGGTCTTTTTGTGCTTTGCAAGACTTAGAAGTTTAGGAAACATCTGACTCTAAATGTTTACCTTAGAACTTTGAGATTCTGGTGGATACGTTTAATTCATATAGACTTGATCGTTTTTGGCCCTGCTCCAACACCGTAAATAAAGGAGGTGTAATTCACAGGCAGGAGCAACAATGCACAAGACTTTTTCATGTCTTGCAACAAAACTGTTATCTCAACTATTGGATTTTTAAACGTTTTTTTTTTTGTAAAAAAATTAATTTAATTCTCATCAGCACACAGTCATTATATTAACCTAATGTTATCTTCATAATGTCTTTTCTTGTTTCCTGCAGGCATTCTTGCACCGAATGAACCAGTGTGCAGCATCAAAAGTTGACAAAAATGTAACAGAGGAAACAGTGAAGGTGAGGAGGTGCAACTGGCCCTCAAGCCAAGCACAAGTTGCCCTTAGGTGGAATTGTATCTGTGGGATGTTACTTTAGGCCCCTTCAACTTAACTTCTCTTCTACTCTAAGTTCCTGGGCCAATCACTTGTGCTTGTAATAAGTTGAAAATGGGGAATTAGGGTTTGAGGAAAGAAATGGGGCTTAAGAGAATGACATAGAGGTCACAGAGCAAGGTCTTGGGAAAATTTGAAAAGAGGAAGAAAAATAAACCCGAGACTCAGAACCTTAGTGTCTAGGAGAGGAAGGGAGTGGGGCTGGGTGTAAGACGATTGCTAGAGGTGGCTCAGGAAGGCTACATGTGGGCACAAGTGACTTCTAATTTCTGTGATCACTAAAGAACAAAAGATCTGGGTGGTCCACTGGTGTGGAGAAGAAAGCCCACATAATGTCTTCAAATCAGAAACAAGTGTACAGAGATTTAAACTGTAGGGAGGGAAAATTGTAGAGTTTTGAAAAAAAAGATAAAGGATGGTTAATGAGTCATTATTCATTTAAGTTGTATAAATCATCATTGATATTTATGATGCTAACTTACTGTTTTATTTTACTGAAAATAAAAAATTCTAAGGATATTTTAGTTGGACCAAATTTTTAGTTTGGACTCTATTTCACCACAAGTTAAATACCTAACTTTCAAATTATCGTACCATGGGAATATTTTAGTTAGCCTGCTGGGTTGCAAGCACAAGAGACCTATTATTCAAATTGACCTGAAGACACTTGGTCACATATTAGGGACTCCAGACAGAAGAGAAGGTTCAGAATTGGTGACTCAGGGAGGCCAACAAGGTTGCTAGATCCCCTCCAGATATTCATTCTCTAGTCCAGATTATCAGCTTTGCCACTGAGCTTGCTCCTCCTATGGCTGCAAAAAGATTCTGTAGATGTGCCAGCTGTCACTTCCATGCAACCAACTTCCAGAGGGAGAAAAAGACTGTACATTCCAGGGTGCCCTACTTAGGAGCAAAGACACCCTTCCCCGAAAAGCCTGCCAGCAAATCTGCCCGCATGTTACCCTCAGCCCACCCTCGAGAGCAGGGTGGGGCTACCATGCTTGAATTTAGCCGCTCAGGCTTTGCCCTCAGAGCCACATGTAGGCTCCTGGTTCCCAGGGCTGTGTGGGAGTGGAAGTGAAGTCCAGACGAAATCCGGGCTCTGCCAGCTAGGTGGGAGGAAGATGTGGGGTAGCTATTCCCTGAAGTTTTCAGCCTGGAGAGAGAAGACTACTCTCTAGACTTTTCTTTTTTTCTTTTACTTGCTTCATTACCGCACTTACTCACACATTTATTTATTTACAGATGTTGTTCTCAAACATTGAAGATATCCTTGCAGTACATAAAGAATTCTTAAAAGTTGTGGAAGAATGCTTACATCCTGAACCTAATGCTCAACACGAAGTGGGAACCTGCTTTCTTCACTTTGTAGGATATATTCATGTTTATTTTAAAAGCTCTTTCCCCCTAGATTGTAAAGTTTAGTTTTTGGCATAGTAATATGTATAAATTCAGCATGAGAAGTAAAATATGACACCAAAAGTTTGGGGTCTTTTAAGGCCAATGAAATTTTTACTTACAGCCAGAAAAGGGGAGAGTGTCTCCCAACATCCATTTTACTCAGCGAAGAATAAACAGCCTTTTCTTTTCCCAAGTTAGTTCTTCATATCCTCTGTAGCTTTGAATTCTAATGAATATTCAGACTGTTCATAATGAATGGATTTTTATGTTTCTCTCAAACATAGAGCATTTTTCTTTTAAGGCAGAAAATTTTCACTCCAATTATGGCATGATGAGCCTTTTATTAGTCAGAATGTTCCCTTGTTAATCGACTTGTGACAAACCTGGAGGTGAACAAACCCAGTATGCCTGCAACTGGATTTTCCTCCAGGATGGTTTCTCACAAGGTTGTCCTGAGCGGTGCAGAGGGAATAATAAGCCAGTACTCAGTTGTTTCAAATTACACGTCCTGTGCCTGGACGATCATTTGCGTCTCTTTATACACCATAGCTGAAATTATTTATGCAATCGATTTGCACAGTAAGAAGCCACCTGTATGGTGAAAATTATTTTCAGAACTAAAGGGCATTCATAATAATAAAAAAAAATAGTACTGCTATTTATACCATTCCATTGATGCTAATTTTCAAAATATCAATTCGAATCCATGCATTTATCAAAATGCTGCACGGTGAATGTTTTATTTAAAATGTGTATGTATTTTATCATAGAAATAAAATTTCATGTGGTTTCTAGATCTGTCCTTCTATATGTAGTGAGCAGGCTCTGTATATGCTTTTTGTTGTAATCAGAAGATATTTCATGAAGATAATTATATCAAAGGGAGAGACACCTTGGTGTAGGAAGATGGGGCTGTGCGTTTCTTGGGCGTGGCTGCTTATGTCCACTTGCACAAGCTTACTCCCTTTCAAGAAAGAATTGGAGTCTTCTGCCAGCTGGAGTAGTTGCTATCTCAGTCCAAGGCTGCACATGGGAATCTTGTTCCCTGGCATCCATTTCCTTAGTGACACATTATGAATCTGTCATCCTTGAATTTAGCTAAACTATTTCTGAAGTTTATTTTTTTTTCTGGCTCATACCACCTCTTGAAATAAGTAATTCAGTACATCCTCTGCTGACTATATAAAATAGCACTTAATGTTTCTAAATGCATGCCTTTGGAATTTCAGAGAACTTACTTCCGTTTCATTATTTGACCAATAAAATTTTCATGTCTTTCTTATTGCTATTGCTTTGATAGTATTAATCATAGCCTCTTTGAGAAAATATTACAGATGAAGAGAGCTTAGAGACCATGACGGTAAAATTCCTCCTTCTTTTAAAGAATCCCCTCTATCCGTCTATGAAGACTGTTTATTTTGTTTCTACTTGATTACTTTTAGTGACGGCTCTGATTTTTAGAAAATCTCTATATTGATCCTGAATCTGCCTATCATTGCCCTTGCGATTTCCACCTAGTAGTCCTAGTTTTATATTTTGTAGTTACATAGAATTGTCAATTGTTTACAATAAGACTGCTATTTAAAAATAGCTACTATTTCCTGACTTTACTAACAAATATCTCTCTCTGAAATGACCTCTCAGATGTAGTATCTTCAGGGTCTGTCATTATCTTAGTCACTTTTTGCTGGATATTTTCCAGATTGTCAGTGTCCCTCTTAAGCACAACTGTCTGGATTGGTATACATGAACTGCAGGGCTGTTTCTCTATTCTTATGTGATCTGGCACATACTTTTTCCTCTACCTAAAATGACTTTCTTCCCTCTCCCTGCCTGGGAATCATGGATTCAGCTCACTAGACCTTGCTCAGAAATAACATCTGTTTAAAAGATGTATTTGAATCTTCATGACAAAACTAAGTACTCTCTTTTTGTGCTTTGCTACCACTTGGTTTATTTATGTATTATTGCATTCATCATGGTGGAATATAATTAATATATATCTATCTCCTTTTCCTGGCTATTCTTCATGGATCAGGCAAAATAAATAAATTAAAAAATATATATACATGCACTATAGTTAATAAAACATAGTAAACTCAGTAAAGTTTGTTTATGAACATCACATCACATAGGTTAAAATTTCACAATAGTCAATAAAATGACTATAACTTATTCTCACTTGAATTCACAGAAAGACAAGTTTCGTATCTATGATGAATATTGTAGTAACCATGAGAAGGCACAAAAATTGCTTCTTGAACTAAACAAAATAAGAACAATCCGGACGTTTCTTTTGGTAAGTGTGAATTTATGTGTAATCATATGCTGATAAAGAACTAAGGAATGGCATCAGCATGTTGTAAAAAACTGTTTGTGGGACAACTCTTTTAGCATCCCCAGGCTCGGGAGCTAGAGCTCTTTGATATGTGTTAAGGAATGAGGGTTGGGTAGGCTTGCATGCGGGGAGACACTGCTAATGCCTGTCCTGGTTGATTAATCATTGTTTGTGAGACCCTAAAGGTTCCCCGTGTGAGAAGAACTCACACCAGAGTTCATCATTGCTTTATGTCCCCAAATCCCTAGGGGGCATTCATTTACTTCTGCTGAGAGAGCTGTCAGTGGGGCAGTTCAGAGGACGGAAGCAAGTCTTGGATATGGTAGAAAACCAATGTAAAGATTGACCTTTCTCCCACATACATTCCTTACTTGGTTTACATAAAAACAGCAAGAATGTATGTTTAATTTGTTTAGGTTAGCACAAGTAAATGC